CCGACTACCTGCACATGGCACCATCAACAACAAACAGCAACAAATTACTTAATAAACAAATACTTCGTATCTCATTATGACTATATGAGGCAGGGTCAAAATTACTTAAAAATCAATCTAGCTCTCAAACCGCTATGACTACAACAAGAGAAAGACATACCAACAACATGTTTACAAGCAGGAGGGCAAGCTGAAATCCATTGCTTAGAAGAAAAGGAAGTGATCAAGCATGGAGTTGAGTTCACATCAACATCATCAACTTGATCCATTATGCTGAAAAGTAATAAACATTACGACCAAGAAAATCCAGTAATAAAATGATTATACATAATTACAACTTCAGCTAATAGAGCATAAAGGGGTGTTGATGCAATATCATGCAATACTCGATTAAAAACACAATGTGCAAAACCCCAGGAGAGAAAAAAAATTCCAAAACAACTAATGCACCTCTAGTATTATTCAATTTGAGGGCTCTTGATCTGAGTTCCTAAATCAATTTTTGGGTTTCCTACATCAATACAAGTTACTATAATTAGTGATTGGAATTTGAGGTTCTCTCTGTCAACTAAAACACTTTTAATCAAATTACTTTAACTATTAAATCAAAAGACATAACTTTTTTTGAAAACTCTGCTCCAAAGTTTAGGATGTTAAATTTTAATAAAATGTAAATTTAAGAGGGCAAGAGTGTAACTGAATAGGGAAAGTTTAAATAAAAAAGTAGTTAATGAGTTTCATTCGTTATTCATAAAATTACACTCTAGGCTCAAATGAATTCCATTAGAGTTTAAACATTCTAGCAAACACTTGATAGGCAAATGTATAGTTTTGATTGAGTTGTGAAAAAAATAAGAAAGAAAAAAAGTAACGAGCAAAACTGTTTGTAGAAAGATAATTCAATCGGAATAGATTATATCATAATTTAGGATTCACAAAATCAAAACCAAATTCTAGGTAAAATTCAATCGCAGCGCATATACCATAGCAAATGAGGGAAGAGTTTAGTAGATCAGATTAGGAAAAAAGAAGATGATTCGGACCTTCGATCAGTCTTCGATGGGCAGTTGTCGGTCACCACAACTTGCTCTTTCCTCTTGTACGGCGCCGGAATAATCTGGATAAACTTGATCCACGAAACTGCTCAACCATGGAATTGTCGAAGAATTGAAAGAGAGTTCGAGGGAGAGACAGATAGAGAATCCGGCCCTTTACAAAAAGTTATATAGCTTAGGAAATTTACAAATATGCCATTAATGATACGGCTTTGTTGATGTAGTCGGACAGTTCAAGGAATTAATGGGATGGCTGGAATCACTTCTCAGAGCATCTCCAATGCTAAAACGTGAACGGTGCATACGTGGCATGAGAGATAACCAATTAAAAAATAATAAATAGAATATCTCTCCTTATTTGAAAGATCTTGTATCATTTTGATAAGTTTTTCTTCACAATGTCAAGCACAATGTCTAGATGTAGACATTGTGCTTGACATTGCAGAGAAAAACTTACCAAAAATAATAAAATCGTGGAAAGAATGAAAGAGAAACGTCATAAATTCAATTTTTTGTGTTTATCTCTCGTGCCACATGGCACCGTGCACGTCGTAGATACTCTCACTTCATACCTAATTAGGACGTCAATTATGCTCTTTGTACACACATTTGCACCCACCCTATACACACTATAAAAGCCCCAAAAAAAATTACCCCACTTTTCCCCTCCTCCCCTTTTCCCCTCACCTCACTCGCGTAACTCCCTCGCTCCCCCCCCCCCCCCTTTCTTGAAAATCAAAACACCCGCCGCCCTTGAGAGTCGAAACTCCTCTCCCCCACCCATACTTGTCACCCATATCCCCACGAGCTCTCTGCGTTTGAGGTGTGAACCGGCATCCATCTCCGGAAGCTCACTCGCTCCCCCCCTTCCGCTGTAACTTTTCTCAAATTGGGACATTCGAATCCCTGTCCAAGCGTTTAGAGGTTTGAAGCGAGGAGGCCCCATCCTCGTGCACGTGTTTAGGACGACGAAGCTCAGCAATTGTGCGAACCCCACTGTCAGAGATGGTGGAGTAGTATGTATCATTTCCCCTTTGTTTGTTTTTAGGTTTTTTTTTTCTTGGGTTTTTAGCAATCTTTGAACATGGAACTGTGGGCTGGTTTATACACTGAATATGTGAAGTATTGTGTCTGAATCAACACTTATGTATGATATGGTATGCTTCCTTTGTTGATGTGTATAAGGTGTGTGTGTGTGGTGGTGAAATCTTCATTAGGCGTTAATTGTTGTTTATGAATGAAATTGTGTTTGTGATATAATATAATTGTTTTGTTTTATGTTTATAACTTGCCTGTGTGGTGGTGTAAAGTAAATTTGTTGTTAATTATTGTCTGTGAATCAACTAATGTACATTTGGAGTTCATAAGTTGGCTGTGTAGTGGTGTGGGTCATTTGGAGTGTTAGTAATTGTCTGTGAATGAAATTGTGTCTATTATAGCGTAGTTCCTTTGTCTATGTTTATAAGTTATGTGTGTGCTGGTGTAAGTTTCATGTGGGGTGTTATTTTATAATTGACATTTATGTTTGTCCAACTGGCAGTCCGCTAAAGTTACGCATTCCGAGTCACGAGTATTTCCCCGCGCAGTACTCTGTGTGTTCAGACTTTAGAAATGCAGCGGACTGGGTAAAAAAAAGGTTAACTGAAAGACAAAGGGAAGTGTTTAGGGATTTACCATGGGGGCATCTGATTGACATCCCAGAGACAGACAATTCTGGGCAAATATTGCACATGTTGGCCTTACACCTAGTGAAGGAGCAACCGGATGATGAGCTGTGGTTTGCCATTGGGGATACACTGTATAAGTTTACTTATGTGGACTTTTGCTACATAAGTGGATTACCAAACGGTGTTGAACCAGAACCTGAGGCAGCTGGGGTTGAAGATTCTGAACAGGATGTTGGACATGATTCAGGACACGAATCTGCCGAAGAAGCTGAACCAGTAGGGGCCCTTGCTCAGAAATATTTTGGTGGCAAAGTGTTGACATTACTCACGTCACTTTGAAGAATAGATTTAAGAAACTGAGGTTTTCCACACGTGCTGATTCGATGGATGCTGTGAAGTTGGCCTCGCTGTACTACATTGAGTGCGTTTTGCTAGCAAAGGACAACACTACGAGGATAAATGCTTCATCAATCAGACTGGTGAATGATTTAGAGGCGTTCAAGAAGTGTCCGTGGTCACTTCGTTCGTACAAGTTATTAGTGAAGCATATGAAGGACCTGATGCATGACCAACCTCAGAAGTTCAAGGACAAAAAGCAGGGCAATCCTAAATATAAGAATGCAAAGTTATCATTATACGGTTTTCCACTAGTTTTGCAGGTATATATGACAACTTCCCTATTCTACTTATTTATTTATTTATTTATTTATTTATTTATTTATTTATTTATTTATTTATTTATTTATATATAGGAGATAAATATATATTACTATGGATTGAATAACTATGGATATTAATTACATGTTAAATTTAAACATAGTTATATTTGACATTTAGTTTGTGTTTATTCTTATTTGGTATATATATACGGTTTTCCACATAGTTATTCTTAAATTTAAACTATAACTATATATATACATTTAGTTGCATATATATAACTATATATATACATTTAGGTTGTGTTTATTCTTATTTCTATAGGTGTGGGCTTACGAAGAAATTCCTGAAGTTGGTAACAACTTTGCAAAGAAAGTGGCTAATCATGACGTGCCTTTGCTAAATTGGACTGCTGCACGCAAATTTCATTACTCAAAGCTTAGACGACTGGTCTTTCCAGAGGTACGTGTGTCTCATTCATTAACTTAATTTCAAATAGCCTTAATTTGACTAATACTTTTTTCGTAGGAGGTGAAGGTTGATGATTCAGAGGAGGGAGAGGAAGAAGATGAAAGAATCCAGGAAGACGTTTCCATTTTTGAAAAACAAAAAATATTGAAAGAGATGCGGGACCTACGGCTGTGTGTCGAAAGGGTGGAGAAGAAGATTACTGGTGTTGAGGATAGTATTTCAGAAATAAAGGTGCTACTCTTGAAGTTGATTAACAATCAGAATCCATCAGTTGACCAAGAGGTATGTTCTAACTTACTTCCGTGTGTCATTCACTGGCCACTTTCATTACCTTGGTGACTAACAAATTCAACTACCTGTATTGTAGGTTCATAAGGTTAATGATGATGAAGTGGTTCATCAGGATGAAGGTGCGGCTGAGGGTGTGGCTGAGAAGATAGTACAAACTGCTGAGGGTGAAGATGGTGGTGTGATTAAGAATTATGCTGGTGAGGTTGACGGTCAGGTTGACAGTGAAGAGAAACTGTCCTCGGAGGAACCAAACGATGCCCCTGAACCAGTGCCGATGAACACCGCGGTTGTAAATGAAGAAGCTGGTGATAGGGAAGGTTGCACACGGCCAGATATCATCATCTCGAGTGTGGTGAATGAGGTATATTTTTTTATGTATCTATGTTGTTATTTTTGGGGAATGAGAAATGAAGTGCTTCTTTATGTAATAGGTGAATTGGGAAAGTGAGCAGAATAAGGAAGGAAACACCTTCCCAGATCTAATGATGTGCTTAAACGAGGTAAATATGTGTTTTGGAGTTTGTATTGTGTGTATTAATGTCAATGTTGGCATGATGTAAGTTAACTGAGTATGTTATGTGTTGTGAAATCAGATTATTGAAAAAGCATTTAATTGCATGGGTTGTGAACTCAGGTTGGCTTAATGATATGTGAACTAAGTATGAAGACTGTATTGTTTATGTGTTCAAATAAATGTTGGTGTGCATATAAATCTTTGTCTGTGTGTACTAAAATATGCCTGTGTGTAATGGGAATGTATGCAGGTGGAGGACGACAACCTACCTACATTAACAGCGCCCGCTCCATTTGAAAATTTGGAATGGGATGGACACGATGTTGGTAGTGCACCGGTAGATGTTGACGATGTAGAACTTTTGAGCGGGAAAGAAGTGAAAAAGAGAAAACGGTCTCGTTCAAAGTACCAATGCTCACCATATGTTGAACCGATTGTCTCAATTCTGCCTGCTCTGTTTCACCCAACTGTTGCAGATATTGCATCGCTGAAGGCATGGATAGAAGAAGCTGACAATGTTGAACCGTCAACGGTTGTTCTGAATCTGCCATCATGTGATGAAGTGGACAGGGACTTTTTCCGTAAGCTTGTTGAACCAGACGAGACATTATGGTCCTATGTGAGTGCCTTATCTATTCCACAACTTTCTAAAGTTTTGTCATCTATATATATGTTTGACTTTATTATTTATTAGCATATGGATGCTCTTTCGTACCTGGTTCTAAAAGATTGTAAGTCGGAGAAGCCGTATAAGCTAATGAATCCTTACTTTACGGTATGTGTTGTTTATTTTAACCAAACTTACTTAATAATTTATGATTTGTTCGTAAATCATTAATTACATAATTGTTTATGTAATTAAAACGTTTTGTTCGTGTAGCATCAAGTCTTGAGTAAGGATGACAAGGATGAGGACGTATGGTTTGCTGATAGGTGTCTACCAAGTGTTGACTGGAGAGGGTTGGAAAAAGTAAGTGCTTAAAGTCTTCATTTAATTGTCTGTGTATTTATTTCATGAGTCAAATTTCATTATTTTCTTGCTTTTATTAGAGTAACAAAGTGACTGCTAATGTATTATTTATTTGTTATTGTGTTCAGGTGTTCGTACCGCTAAATGTTGTAGGTATGCATTGGGTTTTAGCGGAAATTGACCTTCAATCAAAAGTGGTGCGTGTGTATGACTCAATGAAAACAAGTAGGTCAAGGTTGCATGCCTCAAAGTTATGCGTGAGACTTCCGCTCCTCTTCCGAGTCATACAAGTCCACCCAGATGTGCGTGAGGCAAAGCAATGGAATGCTGAGGCAGTGGCAGATGTACCGCAACAGGAGGGAGGGTATGTGTTGAACACGAACTTGTTTATGTGTTGTGTACATTTTTGTCTGTGATCACTTAATAATTGTTTATGTGTTGTGTACAATTTTGTCTGTGAGTACTTCAAAATTGTTTTTTATGTCTGTGTTGCAGAACTGTTTGTGGACTCATGGTAATTTGTTATACGGAGGCACTGATGTTGGGACTACCCTTGAGCCCACATTGCGAGTATGCGAACGTGGCCAGAAAGAGATGGCACTTTGCCCTGCGACTTTGGAATTTGAGGAAGACAGTTTCTTAGACACATGCACTTTTCTATTTTTTGCTCACATCCACATGTATAATTTTTTGCTCATGTAAAAACATTGGTACGCCCATGATGATGACGGTTCCCATGTAACAAACATTAAATACCTGTTTTGTATTTTTGGTAAGCTTTTGGAAACAAATGTATGATAATGTACACTGTTGTACTGTAATCAACCTTGTACAGTATCCTACAAGGTTATTCCCAAGAGGGTTCAAATGAAGTGTGTAACATTCGAACAAAATGACTATGATGGTTTTTTCCTGATTTATAGCATTTCGTTATGGATTACGGGTTATGAAGTCTCAAGTGTTTGTAAATGCATGTGTATGTCAGTATATTATATTATTTATATACATTGGCTGCTGGGGTAATGCACATTTATTAATTTTTTGCAATTATAGATTTTGTTCATTATAGCTTAGTACTTTACTAAATTAAGTAGGCTTGAATAAATTGAATATCAAAGTCAGTTAAATACTTCTTCAATTAAAGCTTATAGTTCATAAAACATAATGTTCATATGTGCTTCTTTACAACCTTATGTTTGTGTCTATGAGTCAATTTTCTTGTTTGTGGCTGAACACCGATCTGACTATGAGGACATAATATTGTCTGTGACTAAAAACAGTGTGATTGATGATACAACAAAAACCAATACATCATAGTACATGTATTCACACCAAAGATAAATTTAAATCTAAACCATTAGAGTACAGCCTTGGCACATTAGTTGCAGTATTACTAGGGCCTTCACCATTACCATGTTGGATTGTTGTGGTTGTGGCTGGTGCATTATCCTTCTTAGCCCTTCCTTTCTTCTTCCCCTTTTCTAATGGACCCTTGGCCCGGTTTTTCCTTGGGGCTCCCTTTCGCTTCGTACATTTTGGATCTCCAATAGGTGGAAGTGGGACCTCGGCACGAATATTTGTTGTTGGGTCTTCAAGTGGCGTCATGTTGCCAACAATACAAGAACGGCTAACTGGAGGAGTATATGTGGTCAACTGGGTTTCCAACCAAAGGAGGACTTCATTGTATTTCGCCTCATCATCCGCAACCATGTTGGCAAGAGACTCAAAGGTCTTACATAACTTGTCAAAACGTTGTTGTTCAACCGTTGTAATCCACCCGTCATAATTTATTTTAACTCGTTGGTACGCCCTTTTCATGCCTTTCCTCCACCTACTCATTAGGTACACCTCGGGCAAGTGATGTATATCAAGCCGAACAAAGATCACAAGCAAGTGTCTACATATCATGCCCCTAAACTCAAACAAATGACAACTACATATTCCAAAACTAGTATTTGGGTCAAAGTCAATATGGAAGTTCACAATCTTCCTAAATCCATTAATATCCATATGCTCTTGCACGGTATATTTTCTACCGTCTTCACATAAAAGGATATCACAATAAAGCTTTCCTTCAAGTAATTCCCTTTGAAACTCCGCGAACTTAGAAAGGGTGTAAATTTGTTGCACTTGTTTTTCCATTGGATATCTAGTCACACATGGAATCATTTTGGTAAATGAGCTAGTATCCGCTTGAAATTCTTTTTCCACCTTATCACGCAAAGCACATCCGTATTGTTCAACAAATTGTTTTAGAGTGGTTTTGGAATTGACAAACTTATCGAAAAAAGCGTTGATGCTCTCACTTCGTTGAGTTGTGGACATGCCGGCCCAAAATGTTGGCTTTAAATAACATGGTACCCACCGCGTTCTTTCATTGTACATCACCCGAAGCCAATCATGCTCTTCAAGTGCAAACCTGAACACATTTAAAGAGCACAAAGTCAGTTTGTAAATAAATCACAAACAACTTATTCTCTGCCCACAAACACATTGTGTCCGTGACGTACAAACTTTATCGTCTATGATAAATACACCTGTCTATGAGGCAGAGAAATAGTTACTGTCAGAAGAAAAAAAAACTTACAATTCATCATACCTTTGAACCATGTCAAGCCATTTCTCCTCAAACTCTTGGGTGTATTGTGAATCATAAATGCAGTCATGTATAACATTCAATATTTCATCTTTGTGTGCATCCCCTCCGAGTTTTTCGGGTACCTTTTTCATTATGTGCCATAAACACCATCGGTGCTTGGATTTTGGGAATACAATTGCAATGGCATTTTGCATAGCACGGTCTTGGTCGGTAATAATCCCCATTGGAGCAATTCCATCCATACATTCAAGCCATGCTTTAAACAACCACACAAAGGTTTGGGTATCTTCGTTAGAGACTAATCCACATCCCATTAGCAATGATTGCCCGTGATGATTTACCCCGACAAATGGTGCAAAAGGCATGTCATACCTATTCGTAAGATAGGTCGTGTCAAATGTTATGACATCTCCAAATTCTTTGTACGCATATCTAGACCTATTGTCGGCCCAAAATACATTACGCAATCTTGACTCCTCATCTAAGTCAATTACAAAGAAAAATCCGGGACATTGGTCTTGCATTTTAGCAAAGAAACCTTGAATGGCAATTGCATCGCCACTACCTAGCCTAAGTTGTCTCACTTTATCTATATAGTTCCTACAATCTTTTTCAATGAAGGGAAGTTGATCATATCCGCCGGCTTCAACAACGGCCGCGGTGAAGCTTTTATTAAGTCGTATTCCCGCAGCTTCATTTATTGCAAGTTTCCTCGCCATTCCATGAGTCATCCTCCTATGGCACCGGAATAGTCTGGCCTTTGTTGGACTCATAGGATGTGAATGTTGTAGACACACTTTTGAAATTTGCCAAAGTCCCGAATAAATAACGTGCGCACGTAGTCTAGCTCCACACCCTATTTGCATTGAAGGTTGGGGCTTCAATTGATTTTTTGACTGACTACCTCTATGACCAGCCCGCGAACACTCCAGTACAACTGACACAATCTCTCTTCCTCTTTTGTCTTTTGTTGTGCTCCTAGTTCTTATAGGAAATCCCAAACGCTTCCCATATGCTTTGTAAAAATCATAGATCGCTTCTCTGCTTTCAAACTCCATACCAACTTCCGGATCTGTACCAAGTTCACTCTCCTTTGCCATCCCTTCTCCATCTGTTATGGTAAATTGCTCATTTATTGATGCATTTGAACACACTTAAACTTACACACAGACAGTGATATATGCACACACAGACAATTCCAAACTTTAACATACATGTTGAATACTACACAAGCAAACAAGTCTTCCACTGTCTACATACAAAAACAAACACACACATAAACAAGTGACACCTCCTACAACTTGCATGTGTCACCAAACGTTTGCATGCGTTTAAAACAATTTAGTACACAGACAGTGATATATGCACAGACACAGACAATTCTAAAGCTTCACAGACACGTTGAATACTACTAAGGGGTAAGCACAGACAATTCCAAAGTTTCACATGATGTATGATTTTTGAAGAAACATATGCATCAGTTGATACCAACTTAGGGGTACACAGACACATTAAGTATCCACCACTATTTAGGTACACAAACAATTAAACTCATAAACACATAAGAACATGTCTGTGAGAAGAAAGCTATTTTAATCTTCATTAAACTACTACAAACATGAGATGAAGTCCTACCGAGGTCAGAAACAACGTCCATAGCCGCCGGCGACGTCTGTCCTTCATCCTCTCCGCCCAGGTGCGTCTCAACGTCACCTTCTCCACCTCCGCCACTGTGTCCATCAACTTCTCCACCTCCGGCCTTCTGTCCAGAGCCTTCTCCGCCTCCGCAAGTCATGTCGTCACCTTCAATTAATTCGGCCGTCTGTCTGTCAGTTTCTCCAGCTCCGCCGGCGTATCCTGCTTCTCCACCTCCGGGAACAGCATTCAACAAAGCCCAAAACTCAAGGTCGTTTCTCACCATGCTCTCATCCATGTAAAAATCCATGGTGGAGGAAGTAAAATCCAGAAATTATCTTTGCTTTTGCTGCTTATGATCGTCGAAGGAAAAAGAGAGGAGGAGCGGGTGTTTTGATTTTCAAGAAGGGGGGGGGGGGGAGCGAGGGAGTTACGCGAGTGAGGTGAGGGGAAAAGGGGAGGAGGGGAAAAGTGGGGGTAATTTTTTTTGGGGCTTTTATAGTGTGTATAGGGTGGGTGCAATTGTGTGTACAAAGAGCATAATTGTTAGGACGTCGTAGATACTCTCACTTCATACCTAATTAGGACTTCTTGGGATCTTTTCTCATTTCATACCTGCTATGTAAACCATCTTATTTTAGACGTAGAAGCTTATCTGGTGTCGCAAATCATGACAATGGCTTGTAAAGCTCAACTGTCGATACCAAATGGCCTCTGGTTCTTTTCATCTTCGCCCCCATTGTCACACCCTTTCTCCAATTCCATCAATTTCCGGAAGAATTATTTCCGAAGTCGAATTTTGGTCCGCCAAACCTATCAATGCTGGAATCTCAGACGATATGGTGGAGCTCTCTATAGTACTTGTAACGCCAACGATGGCGGCAGAAGCTCGGATACTTTTTTACTCACCACTCCGCTTTATTACGTGAACGCCCCTCCTCACATGGGTAGTGCATACACTACTATCGCGGCCGACGCCATTGCCCGTTTTCAGGTCGCACTCTCTATTTATTTTGCAAATGCATAAAAAACTTTGAGATTTTATATTTGTTTTTTCCTGTGCCTGCCTAGTTTCTAGGCGTATTACTTGGATGATTTGAATAAATTTGTAGAGGCTTCTGGGGAAGAAGGTAATCTTCGTTACTGGAACTGACGAACATGGGGAAAAAATTGCTACTGCCGCGGCTGCTCGTGGTTGGACTGCAAGTGAACACTGTGATATTGTTTCACAAGCGTACAAGGCTCTCTGGAGAGATGTATAATTTTCCAAGTAGAGTTTTTTTAATTGGATTTGTACTTTTGTTTTGATTTCCAGCACGGTTGCCCACTTTTTAACTTGATTGTTTCAGTTAGAAATTAGTTATGACAAGTTTGTCAGAACAACTGATCCAAAGCATGAAGCTGTAGTTAAGGAATTTTACTCAAAGATTTTTTCCAAGGGAGACATTTACAGAGCTGATTATGAAGGAATTTATTGTGTCAATTGTGAGGAGTACAAGGTGCAACGTTGTATTTGCTAAAGTACCTTTCTTTCATTATGTTAATGGACTTCCTATATTCTGTGTACTTGTGAACTAATTGCACTCTTAAGTCACTACGCAAACTGTGGATTCCTGATGCACTTTTTACAATTCGCTTGCTCATTATTGACACACTTTCAGGTTATAGTAAAATCAGTTGGCTTAAAGTACTTTTAGTTTATGGGCAAGTTTTTAGTCTGGAAAAATGATGTTTGTTCATATTCTGATATTCATCTTCTTGTCGGAAAATGATCGACTGTGCCTCTAAAGAACATTTACTAACTCTAATTTGCATGCAGGTCAAATTTCTGTAGCTGATGGTAACATTATTTTAAAACATATTCTATAAAAATGGAATAGGCTAACTTGTAACTCTTTCCCTCTCTATAGGCTGCGTTTGAAAACAAAGTTTGAGCCCAATGAACACTTACTGTTTGCCCACACCCTTCTCTAAATTTAGATTTATCGGCTTGAGTAAATAGTGGACTAATATAGTATTATTATGACAAGCGAATACTTTCCAGCATCCAGATGGCAACTTTTTTTTTACAAATATGGTTGTTTCTTGCATCAATCTCTTATTTATATGTATTGCATGAATGTAAGATTCATAATACTGCCTCCTAGTGGTGTGTAACATTGTTTTCATACTTTTCATTTTAGGATGAGAAGGAATTGCTAGAAAATGACTGCTGCCCAGTGCACTTAAAGCCATGCATTAGAAAAAAGGAAGATAATTACTTCTTTGCCCTGTCAAAGTACCAGAAGCAACTGGAAGAAAAGTTACAGCAAAGCCCTGATTTTGTTCTGCCATATTTCCGACTAAATGAGGTAAGAAGTAAACATCTCTTTTTTCTATATTAATATTATTAATAGTAATAGCATTTAACTATTAATAATAGTAGTACTAATAAGGTTAGTTCCGTCCATATTGTCCGTGCATCATATTTTTCCTTTTATGCAATTACTTCCTCAGAAGCAGAAGTTTTTTATATCACTTGTTTGGGTGTAATGAGCCCATCAGTCTGTTGTTACTCCTATAAATTGTCCCTAAGTTATGAGGTAATTGGTTATTGGTGTTATAATAATTTACATATAAGAACTAATGTATCTTGTTGGTCCTTGATCTTTTTATCCTCTAAAAGAATTAGTTATACCCTATCATTTTTTACATTTGAATAGAGCAGCAAAACAATTGGACTTAACTTGCTTAAAGATGCCCCTTCGGGTGTATAAAGTGATAATGCTCTCTACCCTCTTGGACCCCTCCACCCATATACTTTGTACAAGTTAAAACTGATGTAGAATATCTTTAGGTGCAAGGTTGGATTAAAAGTGGCCTCAAAGATTTTTCCATCTCACGAGCATCAGTGGATTGGGGTATTGCAGTTCCTAATGATCCTAAGCAGACCATATATGTCTGGTTTGATGCTTTGTTGGGGTGAGTAATTTTCTTTTCTGGTACTACAAATAATTTTAGATGTTTATTTCCTTTGTTGTATTTTCTTATATTTTCTCACAGGACGACTCGTGACTATAAGATTTATCAACACGACAACATGTGAATATTTGTTTGGGTACTTTTTTATTGGATCTTTGAAGACATAAAAAGAGTCAGATAGCTAAATGATCTACTTCACGTGGGGTTTAATGCACAAAACCCCCCATGGTATATAAATTCGCCGCATTAGCCCCTTCTGATTTACTGAATGCGTCAAAGCCCCTTATGTTATAATTAATCATGCGCAAAATCCCCTCCAAGAACAAATTGTATAATTTCGAAATCACTTGTCTTAATCATATGATTGTTAAGATTTTTAAATTATACAAAAATACTAATCACTTTCATTTATTTGGCAATTAAATTTGTTCACAGAGGGGATTTTGCGCATGAATAACTATAACACCAGGGGGTTTGATGCATTTTTTTATTAAATCACAGGAGCTAATGCGCTGAATTTATATTTCACAAGGGGGTTTAGTGTATTAAATCCACGTCACGTGCCATCTGACTATCTGACAAGCCAGGCTTATATGCTTAGGCAGTTTTGCTCTTACTACGTGAAAATTCAAGGTAATTTTAGAAGGATTAACTGAATAAGGAACCTGTATACTTTATAGTGAGGCAAGTGCTCAAATTTCTTAAGTGATGATACTGGTGTGTGGTTGGAGAAAGGAGAGGATGGGTTATTTTAAAATTTTAAAATTAGAGAACTACATATATCATATATAGTGACAGATAAATTTCTATGAGACTATGAGTCTAACCTTTGATTCTTCTTTTTGTACATTCCCATTTGTGTGTTCACATTCTGAGTGGTTAAACAATTTTGTCATGTGACCAACAAAGCTACTTGGCATATAACCTCATTAGCATCTGAGTCCCAAAGGTTGCCATCCGTCAAGATGGGGACCCTCTTCTCGTTCTCCGAGACATGTCCAATAAATTCATCCGCTGAAAATGTAAAGTCCGGACCATCATAACCTCCCTCACAAGATAGAGATTTTTAGTAAAAAAAAAACTGTTAAAATCTGGAGAATCCCATCCAGGATGAGCATGTCTACTCCTAATACTATCACCTAGCTCTTAAACTCTTGTTTTCTTCTTATTAGCTTTTGTTTTATTTGCGGGTGTCAAAGTCAAATTATCCAAAGAAGAGGCAAGGAGCTTCTGCAATTCATAAAGTAGAAACTGGGAAAGTGAATCCACCCCATATGTCAAAGAAACCTGAAAGAAATCCTTAAGATTTGCAAATTCATCAATACTGTGAACATCATCAATTGAAACCAAACCCAAAGACTGATCAAATGAATCAATATGCTCAATACCGACCTGAAGTAATACACAGGCGAAATGGAAATCGTAGTTTCATAGGATTGAGCATAATCCTCATTAAAAGGTAGAAAGTTCAAATCAATTTTGGAACCCGTTGTAATTGAAAAGACCTCACCTGAATCTTTTTCAACTGCGAGTTTTTTGGAAATGGTTGCATTCATCAACATAATAACTCGTGTAATCCCCTCAAGAAAAGTGTTGAACCCATGGACATTCCATCCCTCAGGAATAAATAAGAATCACCCCCTTCTCAATTATTCAGATAAATCCCCCGAAAGAATTAGCATCATACAAAATGACAAGAGATTTATTCAGCTAAAATATAGTACAAGACCTACTATCACAAAATATCTCGAGTATGGAATCCTTTAACCAATTAACTCCCACAGCTTCGAGATTCACAATAGATGTAATTCCATACTTCGTTTCAGAGATGCAAACAACAGTGCAATTGGTAATTTTAAAGTGAAAATATTTACTCTCAACGAAGAAGTCAAATTCATCTTCTGTGGTTTCGAAGTTCTGATGCCAAAGAGCCATCCACCCATCGAGTCTGCTTGATGCCCCCAGATCTCCCATGTCAAAGACCGGAAGACTTGCAGTACTACTGCAAGCCCCAATCTAATTGTCAGGGTTGAAATCATTCCAGGTAGTTCTATACTGAAATATTGCCTTCGGTGTGGTATATTGTAACGATCCCACACCGGTCAAGTATGGGCTTGACCGGTGGCTTAAAAGCAATGTGTCCCCTCCTCCTAATCGACTGGTCTTTTGGGAGTGAGTTCTACACCTGGACTTATATCATTGATATGGGCCTAGTATAGGTTAGGTCCGTAACAATTGGTATCAGAGCCATCCCCTTCTTCTTGGTCCTGACACTCGGAGTGGTGGCCTATGGAGTGGTGGCTTGGGCTCTGTGGGGTGCCAACCGTGACCAACATAGCCGTTACCAATGTTGACGTTGGCTCTTCGAAGCGTGGGGTATTGTAACGATCCCACACCGGTCAAGTATGGGATTGACCGGTGGCTTATAAGCGATGTGTTCCCCCTCCTAATCGGCTGGTCTTTTGGGAATGAGTTCTACACCTGAGCTTATGACACTGGTATGAGCCTAGTATGGGCTAGGTCCGTAACATATATCTTCTTTTAACACCTCTAATGTTTAGCTTCTATACTCCCTAACTCTTTTTTTAGTAGCTCTCAATTTTTAACATAGAGTTTATGGAGAACGAAATTACCACATGTCCACATGCCATCATGTCACAATCTTCTTTAAAGACCAAAAACACCAATGATCCTGTGTGGGGAAGCTTTGTCTTTTGGTGGTTTACTAGTTTCTGTAGACTTTTCCATCATTTGCAATGGAGCCAAAGATTCATTATTTTTTGGCTTGAGAATATGATGGAATAAAGCATGGGTCACTAAACTGTCTGCTCTTCTTTGTTATGAAGCAACAGTCAGTCCATGCAATTTTGGACGCGATTTTCACTATGGGTCATCCAGAAACAGTCTCTCTGTACAGGGGTAAGACTGCGTACATCCGACCCCCCCTTACCCCACCGTAGGTGGGAGCCTTTGCGGCACTGGGGTAATGATAATGATGACTAATTTTGTGCTATGATTCTAGGTTCATTTCTCAGTTGCTATATGTTTTAATGTTACTAGAATCTACTTTATTACTTTACTGCTTACATATGTAGTATATTTTACCTTCCGTTATGCTTCCGCTATTTACTCCATCGCTATCCGCTATAGTTTTATAGTAGTTTTTATGTTATCTGCCAGAGTCTGCTATCCTCTATGCGTCTGCATTTAGCAATATCTGGGTAGTTAGTAAGGTATACATGTGATTTGATATATTTTCATTCGATGGTTAACTTAATTAGTTAATTCTAGTTAGTAGATAGCTTCTGTTGATGTTCAGGAATGTTAAAGCTTATGCAATAGAGAAGTTGGGTACTGGTCAACACTGCTTGTGAAACACTGAAAAATATGATGCTCTGTAATACATATTATTTCATTGAGTTTTACGTTATTTTCCTTGTGCGTCTTATTCAATGCTCTCCTTATTGTTTCATGCAGTTACATGTCTGCTGTTTTAGAGGATAAGGAGATGCCTGACTTACACCATGCTGTTTCATTAAAGTGGCCTGCATCATTACACTTAATTGGCAAGGTCTGATATCTGTGTTTAACTAATCTTATAGAATAAATATATTGGTGTTACGCCTAGTTATGAATCTGGAATTTATATATACTTCACATTGCCTCTAATTAAAATTTTCATGTTATGCCTGAAACAAACTTTCTTTACTTATGATAGGGATGCGGCTGTAAATAATAAAGATGATAAGTACTTTGGCAGAGTTTATTCTAGAAGAGGAAGGAATAATAGTTAGATGATAGTTATTGAGCTGGCACTTTCTTTTTTCTTTTTTTTGAAACCCGGTGTTTGATCCAAAAAACCGTTATGGTTTTTTGGGGTAGGGTCCAGGGAACATCCTACCAATTTATTTGAAAAGAAAGCAAGTACATAGAGTAGGAGGGCCAGACCAATGCCAACTCAGAAGAAAATACATAAGGATAACTAGTAGCATCAAATTTTAAGATACCAACAAAGCGATTAAAATGGTGAGTCTTGGTACTAATAGAAGTGTTTTCATAAGCTAAAAACTCTGCTGCGCAATTGATCTTTGGATGAATGTGGGTAATCGACCAGTTGTAGGTATTGATCCTTCTCTTGATTTCTTGTATCCGAGGCCAGCACCTCCAATGTTGTGCAACCACACCTGTTAGTCCTTCATAGATATCCCTATTATCCACCTCAAGAATAAAATTATTCAAATTTATCTTCTTGATATTGAGAATAGTTTCTATGATGGCATCATAAGTAGCTAAAGTGGTGTCTCTATTGAGAGAAATATAGGTCATATGGCCCATGTAGGTGCCGGATGCATTGCGGATAAGGGCTGCACTCCTAACAAGTTGGGGAGTGAGAAGCCGAGTTGCAATGTTGATCTTATGGTAGTTAGGTGGCGGTTTTTTCCAGTAGTTATGCTCAAAGCTACCAATAAACTTTTTGGGCATCGTAATGGAAATGTTGAACGGGTTGTGGTTTTGAGTTGTGGTGAAGGGTTTGCAATTCGAAATGGCAAAGATATCAGTTTTTATAGCCTTTATCACCTCAGGACGAAAGGCATGTTTGTTATCATGTATTACCTTATTCCGAATCTTCCAAAGGTTCCAAATAACCGTATTTGGAAGGACATAGTTTAGATCAGCAAAACCCCTAAAGCCTTTATACCATCCAAGAATATAATTTTGAATAAAAAACGTGGGTCTGGGTTTGTAGTTGAAAAGAGTTTCAAAATGTTGCCAGACCTTTTTGCTAAAGTTGCAAGAAATGAAAAAGTGGTCAATGGTATCCACGTTTGGGCAAAGAGGGCATTTAAAAGGACCATAGATACCAATTTGCCGAAGTTGGGCCTCAAAAGGAAGCAAAAGTTTTTTCATTTTCCAAAGGAAAAAAGAGATCTTTTTGGGGGTTCTGCTATTCCAATAGAAGATAGAGCTCTTATCAACACTCTTTTTTGGCCTTATGACATCATAGGCACTAGAAAAACTGAATTTGCCATTCGATGAGCTGGCACTTTCTGTTATTAGCTACTCCGTATTAGCTAACTGTCGGTTGTTAGCTGAGAAGATATAAATAACTAGTCTGGGAAGGGGATAGGGAGGCTGTTAGACAGTTAGAGATTTGAGATACACTGTCTCTTTTCTTTGGGACTCGATTTACTTTCTTCCTCCATTAATGAAAGCATGAGCATAGTCACATAGTTCGTGGAACGCTTCGGTACGGGAACGAGGATCAAGAATGGGATTCGCGAAGTCTAGCGTATCCGGTACGCGAGGGGGTAGACTTCTTTGGTACGCTATTTCAGTACGCGGTACGTTGTACCATTGATTACAGTCGTACCGTTAAAATATACAATTTATGAAGTGGAAATATAATATTAATAATATGGAGTATTGAACAATTAATGTAACATTCCAAATTCCAATTGTTGCCAATTCATAAACTGGATAAATTAAATCTGATAAAATTAAATTTTTATTTAATATAAGTATTCAATAGTCAATACTAATGAAGTAATAAAAAATTCAGTTGATAATATATTGCGTAGTTCAAAATCATCACACGCACAAAATACTGCGTAGTTCAAAAAGGATCGAAAAGTTGTAGTAGCTGGAGTCAACTGACCGGGGAAAAAACAAAAAGCAAAAAAGAACGGTTTGCCAAAGAGAAAGAATGAGAGGGCCATAGAGTAAAAGAGAACACAAAGTCCAGATCTAAAATGTGATAGTTACTATTAGCCCCCTGAGGTTATGTCATAATTATTAAGGCAACCTTGCATTTTCAAAAACCAATTAGGTACCCCTTGAGTTTGGATCATTCTCTTTCTTTGCCCCCTTATGTTAATATTTGTTAAATCAAATGTAATATAATTCTTAAATTCAATGAAAATTGTTTATAAAATTAATTTTTAAATTAAAAAATAAATTATTATCATAATTATAAGTCATTATTATTGATATTTATTTTTCTACTTAGCTACTCCATCGGGGAATAAATATTAGTGAGAGTAGGGACATGTTTACTTCACCGGTTATTAAACGGTGCTTATTAAAACCCGTGTTAATAAGCGGCGCATAAAATAAACAATGTTGTAAGACCGTGTTTACTTCAAACGGTTTAAAACACCGCTTAACATTAAAATGTCCAAAATAACCCTATACATATATATACACACAAACATTCATGAACACAAGTATATAATATAATATGTGTACCCATACCCCTAACCCCGACCCCACCCACCGCCTACCCCTACCCCCTACCCCTACCCTACCTACCTGACCCCACCCTACCTACCTGACCCTACCCCTACCCGACCCCACCCTAACATGTCCCCACCCTACCGCAACCCTACCCCCGACCCCATAGGCCCCTACCCCCATAGGCCCTTACCACATCGACCCGACCCCACCTTACCCTACCTTACCCCAACCCCGCCCCTACCCCTACCCTACCCAACCCACCCCCTACCCCACCCCACCACACCTACCCTGCCCCTAGCGCCTCTATCACATCGGCCCCACCCTGACCCCACCACCCTAGGTATAGTGGGGTAAGGGGTGGGGTAAGGGGTATAGGGTGGGGTGATTGAGGTCAGGTAGTGGTAGGGTGGGTCGGGTAGGTAGGGTAGGGGTCAAGTTGGGTAGGTAGGGTAGTGGTAGGGTGGGTTCGGGTAGGTAGGGTGGGGGTTGAGGCGGGGTAGGGTCGGGTAGGGTGGGGTCGGGTATGTGGGTAAGGGGTGGGGTAGGTAGGGTAAGGGTAGGTATGTGGTCGGGTAAGTAGGGTAGGGGTGGGATTGGGTAGGTAGGGTAGTGGTAGGGTGGGGTCGGGTAGGGGTAGGATGGGGTAGGGTTGGGTTGGGTCAGGGTAGGGGTAGGGGTAAGGTGGGGTCGGGTAGGGGGGGTAAGGGTAGGGGTGGGGGTCGGGGTAAGGGTAGTGTAGGTGGGGTAAGGGTAGGGTGGGGGTTCGGTTAGGTAGGGTAGGGGGTGTCTGGTAATGGGGTAGGGTAGGGGTAAGGTGGGGTACGTGTAGGGTGGGGTCGGACAGGTAAGGTAGGGGTAGGGTGGGGTCGGGGTAGTGGTAGGGGGGGGTCGGGTAGGTAGGGGTAGGGTCGGGGTAGGTAAGGGTAGGGTGGGGGTCGGTTAGGTAGGGTAGGGGTGGGGTAGGTAGGGTGGGGTCGGGATGGGGTAGGGTAGGTGGGGTAAGGGTAGGGTGGGGTAAGGGTAGGGTGGGGTTGGGGTCGAGGTGGGGCAGGGATAACAATAGGTTAAGGGCAAGGGGTAAATTCGGAAACTGAAAAAGCTTAAAGTGCCGCTTAATTAATACATGGGGGGGTGGTATGCTTAATAAGCGGCACTTTAAGCACCTCTTTCGGTTAGTAAGCGGCTTTTTAAGCAGTGTGCGTGTTTACTTCACCTGTCTTACTAACCTAACTGTGACTTTAGCAGTGAAGTAAACACCTCCTAGGTAAGGGAAAATACTCACAAGTACTACGTAAGATATAAAATATCATGAATTTCATTACTCTTATTTTAAAAAATTAAATATCATTCAATCTTATAAAACTAATAGACTTTTTACCGTAAAAAAATTATGAAAATAAAATCATCACAAATTAGTAACAGAGTAAATAAACAAATTTAAATAAATCAAAATCTATGATATTTTAGCTCTTAGATGGATAGCTTTCAATTATTCAGCTCCTATATCGATACATTCTACTCCCTCCGTCCCGAATTATAAGATACTTTTCGGTTTACGATGTTTGACCGACGATAAAGCAAACGAATCCCTGTCTGCATTCAAATTATTTTTAGAAAAAAAATATTACATATTCAGAAACTACAATAAAACTGCTACAAAACCTGCAAAAAATAATTCAAATTTCATAAATTTTTATATATAAAGTGAGAGATTAAGAGCGATTTGTGTTGACCGAGTGAATAGTAAAGATATCTTATAAAATGGGACAGAGGGAGTATATTTTAGGTCGCTTATTAATGCTTGACACAAATCAGCATTTGAGGAAGGTTTTACAAGCATTAAAAGAGAATCAGTTGGTGGCTAATGGAAAAAGTGCTCTTTTGGTCAGGATAAACTAACCTATTTGGGTCACGTAATCTCTGAAAAAGGGGTATGCGCAGACCCTAGCAAAATTGATGCCGTGGTGAAATGGGCTGGACCTATAGATCAGAATGGGTTGAGAGGATTTTTTGGGCTTGGTACTATAAATGATTTGTAAGAGTATACAGTGGAATAACAAGCTCCTCTTACACAACTGCTAAAGAAAGATAACATCCATTGGGACCATAAAGCCAATCAGGCATTTGAGGAGCTAAAAAGGGCAATGACTACTTTACCGGTTCTCATAAATCCTGATTTTAACAAGATGTTCATTTTGGAAACTGATGCTTCTTGGACAGGATTGGGAGCTGGATTAATGCAAGAAGGCAGACCTATATGCTTATATGAGCAAGGAGTTGTCAATAAAAAACCAGAACAAGTCAGTATATCAGGCAATTGTACTGGCCATCCAAAAATGGAGACCCTACTTATTGGGGATAAAGTTTCGGGTTCATACTGAGCAGAGAAGTCTGAAATACTTAACTGAACAGAAGATTATGGGGGAAGAACAACAAAAATGGATATCAAAGTTACTGGGCTACAACTTCACTATGAAATACAAACCAGGTATTGAGAATAAGGTTGCAGATGCTCTCTCAAGGAAGCCTCATTTCCCGTCATTGTCAATAGTAACATGTCAGGAATGGGAAGGACTTGAAGTGGAATTAGAAAAGGATCCTAGAAAGTGTGAGATAATTCAGAAGATCATGTTTAGACAAATTTCGTGATTGGTGTTACCTAAGGGTTCCAAGAGAATAGATACAATTCTAAAGGAGTACCATGACTCAGCTATTTGAGGGCATTCTGGTTATTTCAGAACCATGAAAAGGATCTCAAATCTGTTCTACTGGTCTGGGATGAGATCAAACATCAAGAACTATGTTCAAGGGTGTGATGCCTGCCAAAGGAAAGTATCAAGCCCTTAAACCAGCAGGACTATTACATCCCTTGCCTATTTCTAGTCAAATTTGGACTGACATTTGCATGGACTTTATAGGGGCGCTACCTAAATCCCAGGGTAAGGATACTGAAGTTTTCTGAATTTTATTATTGACAGAACTCTCTTTTACATGAAGTACAATTGCATATTTATAGAAAACCAATCCTAAGAAGTGTCTGTTCAGTACCCTAAGTGACTGTCCGGATACTGAAAAATAAATGAATATAAACTGATTAGACAAGTATTAATTTACAATCTGAACATGCATTAAAGACTCGCTAAATACTCATTATTACAGAAAAAACTCTTCTGTTTCTCAACAGATGCATCAACACCCCCCCTCAAGTTAGGTTTGTAGATATCCTTCATGCCTAGCTTGACAATAAGACTCTGGAACCTAGGACTGTGAAGAGGTTTGGTAAACACATCTGCAACTTGATCTTCTGAGGGAATGTAGCTTAGTTCAACCAGACCTCCTTCAACCTTTTCTTTAATGAAATGCCGATCAATCTCAATATGCTTGGTCCGATCATGTTGGACGGGATTACGAGCTCTGCTAATTGTTGATTTGTTATCACACCTCAACTCCATTGGTCCCTTCCATCTTATTTGTAAATTAGAGAGAATAATTCTGATCCATAGAAGCTCACCCAAGCCATGGGCAAGTGCTCTTAGCTAAGATTCAGCAGATGATCGTGCCACAACATTCTGTTTTTTGCTTCTCCATGTCACAAGATTTCTGGCAAGGAAAACACATAAACCAGTAGTTGATTGATGGTCAACGAGAGATTCTCCATAATCTGCATCAGTGAAGGCTTGGATTGATAACTGCCCCCCCCCCCCCCCCCCCCGAACACTATTCCTTGTCATGGACTTCCTTTTAAGTAGTGTAGAACCCTATAGGCTGCTTCGAGATGTGATTTCCCCGGGTCATTCATGAACTGCCTTAGGACACTAACTGCATAAGCAATGTCAGGTCTGGTATGAGAGAGATAGATAAGTTCTCCACTTACACGTTGATACATTGTTGAATCAACCTTGGGCTCATCAGTAGCAAGACTAAGCTTATGATTGCGATCAATAGGTGTAGTAACCGGTCGACAAGCACTCTTACCAGTTTCATTCAACAAATCTGTAATGTACTTTTGTTGACTGATAAAGATACCTTCAGATGAGCAGGCAACTTCAATTTCAAGAAAGTATTTTAGAGAGCCAAGAGACTTCATCTCAAATTTGGACTTTAGCTTATTCTCAAGATGTTGTTTCTCAACTGGATCATTACCGATCAGAATTATATCATCCACGTATACTAAAAGAGTAGTGTGATAGGAATAAATAATGATTGGGCCTATTCTATAAATAATTAGTGGGCCTATTCTATAAAGAGTATAATAGAAAGGATAAGAAGTCTATTATTGTTATTAGTTCCTTTTATCCCTGCGTGGAGAAGGACTATAAATAGAAGAGTCAACTAAAAGAAGGGTAGGTTTTATTTTGGATTGGACTGTATTGGGAGATTGGGCATCTCGAATCAGCCCCTGAGCACTGTATCCTTTGTGAACTGTTCAGTTGGAGAAATAAAGCTATTCCGATTATTCCTCTTCATTCTCTGTCACTTTGCTCTTTGTTTTGGTACCAGATCTCACGGATCTATCATAGTGACTCCACCTGTGCAAGAGTGTTTGTAAAAAAGAGTATGGTCGCCCTGACTTTGACTATAACCAGCAGCCATGGCAACTTGGGTGAAGCGGTCAAACCAAGCATGGGGGGATTGCTTGAGACCATATAGGGCTTTTTTTAGTCGACATACATGTGTAGAGGTGCCTATCGAAGCTTTATTGGAGCATGGGGAATGTGCATGTAAATCTCGCAACTCACCATGGAGGAAATCATTCTTGACATCAAATTGCAACGAAGGCCAATCAAAGTGAGATGCCAAGGATAATAGGATATGGACATTGTTGAGCTTGGCTACAGGAGCAAAGGTTTCTTGATAGTCAATCCCATATGTCTGAGTGTATCCTTGGAACAAAGGTTTCTTGATAGTCAATCCCATATGTCTGTGTGTATCCTTTAGCCACAAGGCAAGCTTTATATCGCTCAAGAGATCCATCAACATTGTATTTAACAGTAAAGATCCACCTGCAACCAACAACATGTCTTCCAGGAGGTTTAGTCACAATATCCCAAGTATGGTTCTTTTGAAGAGCTCTAATTTCCTCTTGCATAGCATCCCTCCATTCTTTCTTTCCTAAGAAGTGAAGGATACCAGAATTAATCATGAAGGAAAAAGGAGGTGCTTATGGATGCGGCTGTAAATAATAATGATGATAAGTACCTTGGCAAAGTTTATTCTAGAAGAGGAAGGAATAATAGTTAGTTTATAGTTATTGAGGGGGAAAAATAAATAAAATACCCCAAACTTTGAAGGGGTGTGAGATGAATACCCCAAACTTGCACATGTAATTTAAATACCCCAAACTTTATATAAAAAGTTATTTTAGCATCATAGTCAAGAATTATTTCCATCATTTGCAATGGAGCCAAAGATTCATTATTTTTTGGCTTGAGAACATGATGGAATAAAGCAAAATGGCTCACTAAACTGTCTGCGCTTCTTTGTTATGAAGCAACGGTCAGTCCATGCAATTTTGGACGCGATTTTCAAAATGGGTCATCCGGAAACAGTCTCTCTGTGCTTTAGTGCTTTAGTACAGGGGTAAGACTGCGTACATCCGACCACCCCTTACCTCACCGTAGGTTGGAGCCTTCGCGGCACTGGGGTAAATGAAAATGAAATGAGTCAAGAATTATTTCTTTCAAAAATGTAAATTTATGGTGTTAATTGCATAATTTAAAATATTTTAAAATTCATGAAGACGCAATTAACATTCTAAACTTCCATTAGAAAATAGATAATGTTATCCCCTATCTATATAATTGCAACACTTTTAATTTTCTATTTTAAATTATACAATTAATCCCATAAATTTACATTTTTGAAAGAAATAATACATGCCAATGGTGCAAAAATAACTTTTTATTTAAAGTTTAGGGTATTTAAATTACACTGTTTACCTCACACCCCTTCAAAGTTTGGGGTATTTTTATTAATTATCCCTTATTGAGGTGGCACTTTCTGTTATTAGCTATTAGCTAGCTGTCGGTTATAGCTGAGAAGATATAAATAACTAGTCTGGGAAGGGGATAGGGAGGCTGTTAGACAGTTAGTTGGGACTGGGAAGATTAGAGATACACTGTCTCTTTTCTTTGGGAACTCGATGTACTTTCTTCCTCCCCTCCATTAATGAAAGCTTGAGTTTATTTCTTGAATAATATTTTTATTCTCTGTATTCATACATACCTGCGAGAGTCCTATCAAATTACTTGGAAAAGAAGGATTCCCTCCCTATGATCAATCAGAGGTGTAATAGTTCTAAAAATAAAAAATGCCTAGTGGTCTAGCTAGCTTGTTATTCTATTGTAAACTAATTGCAATTTTACTACAAAAGCCGGAAAGGACAAAGTTTATCTGGAAAATAGCTGCTACAGTTTATTGTTTGCATACTGTTGGTGGCATTTTTTATGATTTCTTTTTGAAATTTTTACGTAATTGCCCCACAGGATATATTGCGCTTTCATGCGGTTTATTGGCCTGCTATGCTGATGTCAGCTGGGTTTGACCTTCCTAAGATGATATTTAGCCATGGATTCCTGACAAAGGTATCTAAATGCACTACTGAATGATCATCAAATCCTTGTATATTCTTGTATTTTATTATGCACTGTTTCCGATGTCTTAATGATCTTATTTTAAAGGCGCGAGGCGCCATAAGGCGATCAATTAATCGCATCTTACACCCCCAGGCGGCGTAGGTTCCAAGAGGCGCGCCTTATATGGCGCTTTTTGACGCCTTTTGCGCGTCTGAGAGGCGCGCGCTTCTCACGCCTCATGGAACTGTCTTGGCGATTCAGTCTCTCTAGGCTTCTCCCTTTTTCCTTCTGTGTTGGCTTTGCTTCCTAGTTCCGGCATCCGTGTCCTGTTTCTTCCTTCCGCGTTTGCTTTATCGCAACTCCCTTTTCTTCCGCTGCTGTCTTGCGTCGCAGGCCAGGACTCGCAGGGAAGTATTTTTTTCTTTCTCTTCTGCTGTTTGTTCTCTTATGCGTGTGATAATTTATTAATTAAGTATGTATTATTTTATATTTTGTTACCTTGAAATTGTAGAGTTAGTACCCTGTCGGTCTGTTCTAGATCATGCTGATTAAGCTACCTAAAAATTTGTTTTTATTTAACAAATATATAAGATAGTTTTTATTATAAACAATTTTTATATAACAGTTTATTAATTATGTTTTGAAGTTTTAAGATTGAGTTTTGTGACTTAACTTTTGGCAATGATGCCGTTTAATATTTTTTTTTGCTAGTGTCTTATGTCTTAATAAATGTTGGGTTTCTCTTATGATGTTTATTAAGATTGTGTAATAGTTTGAAGTATTTTTGTGATGTTATCACTTTTTGAGAAGAGTGTTTCATGTAGAAGTAGTATAAATATATTTTATCAAAGATATGAGGTTAAGATCTGTGAGGTGCGCGCCTCGCCGCCTAGCGCCTTGCCGCCTAGTGCCTCGCGCCTCGGGTAAATCAATGAAAACGCCTTGTGCCGCCTCGCGCCTTTTAAAACTAAGTTAATGATATTATGTGACGTAGACAATTTGACATAAACATCTGTTCATAACAAGTAATTCTTCTTTCTCGCACTTCTAAATTTCAGTTTTATTTGTTTTAGCAAGCATCATCCTTCATGGCTTCATCTTCAGAATGTTAGTTGTCACATATGATTTTTTATCAACTTAGGCCCCTGTCAGGGTGGTTTTCTGTTTTTCTTTTTCAAAAACTGAAAACCAGATTATAGAGACTAGAAAAAGTGTTTTTGTATTCTCTGATGGTAGTTTTTAAAAAACATTATTTTATTTGATAAGTTTTGGTTTATTATGTCACTAAGGATAGGGACTCATGAAAACATTATTTTCTGTACTTTAGTACAGGGGTAAGGTTGCGTACATCCGACCTCCCTTACCCCACCATAGGTGGGAGCCTTTGTGGCACTGTGGTAATGATGATGATGATTCGGTAGTTTTAAACGGATATTTTGACTTTGCATCCCGTTTTTTTGGGTGATATTGAATTTAAGAAAAATTCTTAAATTCTTAGGGGAAATAGGGTGCAAAGTCTAAAAGTTTTGAAAATGAGGTGCAAAATCCAATATCACCCAAAAAGTGTGGTGCAAACTCAAAATTCGCCTTATTTATTTGATTAGTTTTTGTTTATTATGGAGTTATTCTTGTGGCAAACATTCATTGGGCGGTGATCACATTTCTAACTTTGTGTCACCTACTGAATGCATTATGTATGTCACATAGTACTGACTCCCTAGAATGTCTGAATTTAATGTTCCTCAGCTAAGAAGCACAAAACTGTGCTTAACTCACTTTTTGTCATTACGGGAAGTCCCAAGTGTATTGGAAATTCAGAAACTCCAAATTTTCGTTTGAGGTCCATTTAGTAATTAAAAGAATCAACAAACCAGTTTCCTTGATTATTTACTGTATGAGAAACCCTCTTTGCATTTTGATGGGATTTATTGTTGAAAGCTAGTGTTTTCTTATGGAAATTTTAAAGATGTTTTCTATAGAATTTCATCATATTGCTAGAAATGTATAGATTTACACTAGTATGTCAATATTTGATATATTTGAACTCACAAACTATTTTATCGTTGATTACTTGGGATATTTTTAAGGACTGTTTTAGTTTTAGACTAGAGCGATCCCACCTAAACCGACTAGACTTGGACAATAGTAAAATACACACAAATGATGAAATATACATTTACAATACCAGACCACTTCATACCAAACCATGTAAGTAGACCAAACTAGATTAGGCTAGAAAATTTCATTCCAATTATAAACATCCTTAGCAAGCTATATGAAAGGTATGTTTAATTGTACACACACACACACACACACACACACACACATATATGGAAATTGTATGTTAACATGTACTAATTCCGCCCCCCCTAACATTGGTACAAGAGGAGCTGGTGCACTTACCAAGAAAAGTGAGTTTATAGCGTTGATATGGAATTGATAAAGTGAGAATAAAGTAAGAACGATTTAGAAACACACAAATATTACCAAAAATGATATGGGAAAATCTCAGTGGGATGGACCAAAAAAGAAAAATGAGACAATCTTAGCGGGACGGAGGGAGTATATGAAAAAATATTAATAAGTAATAACTATATCCTTGATCCTTATATTGTAATTTTATTTATATTTATGTGTTTTCTCCATTCTTTGTATCCTACTTAAAATGCCGCTTCCCCCGTATTGCGCTTCCCATTTCTCAGTGGGATGGACCAAGAAGGTAAAATGAGACAATCTTAGCGTGAAGGAGGGAGTATATGAACAAATATTAATAACTATATCCTTATATTTTAATTTTATTTATATTTATGTGTTTTCTCCATTCTTTGTATCCTACTTAAAATGCCGCTTCCCCCGTATTGCGCTTCCCATTTCTCAGTTTCACGTCCTTTCTACTTGGTTCTCTTATTATACAACTTACGTATGTAAGCTTTAAAATTATAAAACCAAAAACTGCGAACTTACAACCACCCAAAGGGGGTCCTCAAACGACAGACCTTTGTCTTATATAAAACACAAGAGATTTATGGATTTGCATGCAAGGTATTAATATAATTCATGATACACCTATTTCTAATTTCATGTGCATATTTTGGTCTTTTGGGAGAGTAGGGGGCCCACCCATGTCCCTGATGGTTCAATACCCTTGTGTACCTACACTACTTCTATGCAAGAAGTTCGTCTAAACAAAGATACCACATATTGGAATACTTGCACATTTTATTTTTCTATTGCAATGTATTATTTGCATACATTTTCTATAGCAATGTATTTTTTGGATATTTTTTGGATTCTAGTCTGTCTCACCTCTGACGTTGTGCAGCTTGCTATTATTTATAAAATTTTAGGATGGCGTGAAGATGGGGAAGTCCTTAGGGAATACACTCGAGCCGACTGATCTGGTTAATAGATTTGGATCTGATGCAGTCCGATATTTTTTCCTCAGGGAGGTGGAATTTGGTAATGATGGAGACTTCTCAGAGGAACGCTTCGTCAACATTACAAATGCACATCTTGCAAATACAGTTGGTACATTCATAACCCCTCAATCATTTCCGGTCACATATAACGGAATATGTAGGGCCTGTTTACTAACAGAGATATTTTCCTGTTTTCTACTTCTGTTTTTCATTCTCCAATTTTCTGTTTTTATTTTTCAGTTTTTCTATCTCCAATTTTCTGTTTCTATTTTTTAGTTTTCCATTTTCAAATTTGAAAACATGTTCATCAATTTTTTCACATAGTTCTCCAATTCCACACCCTTGACCCCTACATTTACCCGTACCACGATCTTACACTCTACCCATACTCCACCACAACCCTTCATACCCACCCATACCTACTCGTAGGGGTCGCGTAGGGAAGTTATGGGTGGGGGTGGGGTAAGGGGTATGGTCGGGGTGGGGTGGTAAAGTTTAGGGGTAGGGGGTTGGGTGGGGGTAGTGGGTGGGTTAGGGTCGTGGGTGGGGTAGTGGGTAGGGTTGGGGTAAGGTAGGGGTAGGGTAGGGAGTTGGGATAGGATGGCGGTAAGGGTGGGGGGTAGTGGGTAGGGTTGGGGTAAGGTAGGGGTAGGGTAGGGAGTTGGGGTAGGATGGCGGTAAGGGTGGGGGTAGTGGGTAGGGTTGGGGGTTGGGGTAAGGTAGGGGTAGGGTAGAGAGTTGGGATAGGATGGCGGTAGGGTGGGGTCGGGACCAAGGTGGGGCTGGGGTAGGGAAGGGGTAGGATGGCGGTAAGGGTGGTGGTAGTGGGTAGGGTTTGGGGTTGGGGTAAGGTAGGGGTAGGGTAGGGAGTTGGGATAGGATGGCGGTAGGGTGGGCCCGGGATCCGGGTGAGGCCGAGGTAGGGTGGGGGTGGGGTGGGATGGCGGTGGGGTGGGGCCGAGGTAGGAGGCATGTGGTAAGGGGTCAGGTAGGGGTAAGTGGTAATATACGAGGGGTGGGGGTAGGGTAGGGTGGGTCGGGGTGGGGTCGAGGTGGTAGGGGTGGCGGTAGGGTAGGGTGGATCGAGGTGGGGTCGAGGTGGTAGGGGTGGCGGTAGGGTAGGGTGGATCGGGGTGGGGCCGAGGTCGGGGCATGTGGTGGGGGTGGGGTAAGGTCATTATAGGGAAAAATGGGTACGCGGGGTGGGGGTTGGGTGGGTAAGGTAGGGTAGGGTAGGGTAGGGTAGGGGTAGGAGGTAAGGTACGAGGATGGAGGTGCCGGAATGGAATCGACATCGGAGTGGGACCGGACCCACCACTAGGTGTAAGTATGCAAATTCATTGCAAAAGCACTGTAGCATCTGCGTTTTCCAAATTTGGAAAACTAGTAAAAGTCACTTCTCCAAATCATTAAGGAAAAGAGAAACATGTTTCATTTTTTCCGTTTTGGAAAACGATTTGGTAAACGCGTTTTTCTTTTTTCCTTTCTCCAGTTTTCCAGGAATTTCTTTGGTAAACACGTTTCCTGTTTTCTGTTTTCCAGTTTTCCAGTTTTCTGGAAAACTGGAAAATATTTCTGTTAGTAAACAGGCCCGTAGTGTTTCTTTGTTCCCTAATCTTGATTCAAAATTGCTTTTGCAGGAAATCTTCTAAGCCGTGTGCTTGGACTACTGAAGAAGAACTGCCAATCAACTTTGCCATTTGATTCAACTGTTGCTGCGGAAGGGAAGTCATTGAAAAAGACTGTTGAAAAACTGGTAATCCTATTCCAGCACTAGCCTTTTCTTTGGTGATCCAAAACAGTAAAATTAGTTCATCCCTTCTCTTTATCATCAAACATTATATGGTTGACATGTTTAATTTGGGCAAATTTGTGTCATTTTGTTAGGGATCATTAACAGTCTGGGATTGGCCACACTGTCCCAATTATTGTGGGCTGGGGCTGTGCTGGGAAGTCATGACCCTTTTCAGTTGGCCCTTTTCAAGGGCTTCCTGATTCCATTTGAAAATTTTCCCCTTTTAACATATTTTTTAGTGGGAATGGTATTTTGCTGTACCCCCTCACATACCTTCTATAATAGCATGTCAATTCCAAGAATCCCCTTAGACCCTTCAAACTTTGGGGTAGTAGCCAATCAAGCAATCCAAGGTCAGCTGCAGCTCCCTGGCCTGAGATTAAGTGTCCCAAGATATGCTATCTGTGACTGCCCAAAGCTGCACTTCTTTCTGGTGGTGTTATCATTGAGAAGTTGTAACACTTTCCTTAGATGTTCTCTGTGATCTTCCATGTTTTTACGATATACCAAATTACCAATATATCATGAAAACAACTAACCCAAATTTCCTTAAATATTGTTTAAGAACCTGATTCATGAGGGCTTGAAAGGTAGATGGAGCAATGGTGAGTCCAAAAGGCATCACTACATATTGATAGTGTCCATCACGTGTCCTGAAAGCTGTTTTGTGGATATCAGCGTCCTGCATTCTGCTTTGATTGCTTTAATGATATCCAGACTTCAAATCTAGTTTAGAAAAAACTTGAGTCTGTCCCAATTCATCCAACAATTCCTCAATGACTGGGATGAGGAATTTATCTGGAATTGTGATCTTATTTAGAGCTCTATAGTCTCCACACAACCTCCATCTTCCCTCCTTCCTTTTAATCAAAATGACTGGGCTGCTGTAAGGGCTATTGCTGGGCCTGATGATGCCAGTGTATAATAGGTCCTTCACTAGCCTTTTGATCCCATTTTTCTGATAATGAGAATATCGGGTTTAATGCACAAAACACCCCTGTGATATAGAAATTCGGTGCATTAGCCCTTGTGATTTAAAAAATGCGTCAAACCCCCTTATGTTTTAATTAATCGTGCGCAAAATCCCTTCTATTAACAAATTTAATTGTCAAATAAAAGAAAAATGATTAACATTTTTGTATGATTTAGAGATTTAGACATATTTACTAGCATATTCAATCAAAATATTACGAAAAGTGATTTTCAAATCATTAAATTTATTCATAAAGGGGGTTTTGTGCATGATTAATCAAAACACAAGGGGGTTTGACGCATTTTTTAAATCACAGGGGGGTAATGCGCTGAATTTTTATATCACGAGGGGGTTTGGTGCATTAAACCCTGAGAATATCTGTCTGTAGGGTCTGATGTTAGGGATATTTGCACCTTCTTTGATATTGATTGCATGATCACAGTCTCTTCTGGGTCTTCTGGGGGATAATTCCTGAGATGTCTTGAACACTTGAGGGAATCCAGCAAGGACTATTCCCCATTCCTCATCAGGTTAGAGATCCTTTCCCTTGTCATATGTTTGTTCTTCCCAATGTACGTAATAACCATCTCCTTGATTTTGCAGGTTCTTGACTATTGTTTTCTATGAAGCCTGGGTTCTGCTGAGGTTAGAATCCCCCATCAACTGCCTCTCTGGACCATCTTCCACCCACTTTATGCTCAGTTTTCTGAAATTAACCTATACATTTCCCAAACCTGGTAAGTGGTAAATACTAACCATTCCATATAAAAATCAAACCAGTTCCCCCAAGGTCCAACAAATAGAAGTCTTGAGTAATCACTAAGTCCTGCACCCAACTCTGTAATCCCTCACATGTCCTTTGGTGAGATATTTGCTCCCCAGTCCCCATCTCTACGTGTACTAATTCTTTATATGATATTTACATTTCTTCCATCAATTTCTGGGATTTGAAATTATGAGTAGCTCCAGAATCCAGGAGTATCAGAAAATGTTTTCATCCTTTTGGTGTCTTCAACTGTCCTTGTACCTTGAAAGTTTTGTTGGAGGTGAGTCCATCCTTACTAAGGGCAGATAAGTGTAAGTGTTTCATTTCTCCCTCTGGCTTAGTTTCTTCTGCTTCAGATAGCTGTATGGTGTCATCATCATCTTCTTCTTCTTCTTCTTCCATGATTTCCAGTAAAACAATATGGTAATGTTTCAGCTTACAGATGTGCTCTTTGTTCCATTGTCTCCACATTTAAAAGTTAAAACATAAGCCTCTTCTACTTCTCTCCTGTAACTTAGCCTAGGATAGTTTCTGTCCTCCTCTCCAAGTCTGGTATGACCCTATGGTCTCCTCCCCTTTAGCTTCTGAAGTCTCTCCAAGTCTGGTTTGACCCCATGGTTACCAGCGTTTGTTAGAGTCACAGGAAGTCGGCCTCTTAATAATAATAGTAGTAGTATTAGCTATTATGACAAAGTGTATTCTAGAAGAAAAGAGAATAATAAGTAGCTGGGAGTTGTAAATAGGGGTCAGGTGGACTTATATAAATAGATAGCTACTGGAGGAATAAGGCAGGCTGTTATTTGGTAGTTGGCTGGGACTGGAGAGTTGACATCTCTTTAACTGTCAATCCATTTTCTCTCTCTATTCTGTTCATCGTAATACCTGCTATTCTCTACTGTTCATCTTCTTTCCTTAGCTAGATACTTAACATTGGTGTCAGAGCAATGATCTTGTTACCTGTACATGGTCGCCACAAGAGGAACGATGGAAGCGCGATTGGAAAATCTGGAACGCGAGCTGGAGAGAAGTCGTATTGAAGCAATGCACAATCGTGACCGTGACCGCGAAGAGATGCACGAAGAAGCCCAGGGTACTCGCGACGAGTTACGCGAGTTAATACTGAACCAAAAAGAGAGTCAGTCACACGGAAGATTAAACACGACAAAAAGAAGTAAGAGACATGACAGTTGTGAATCTTCTTCATCTTCAGGTAATCATCACTCTTCATCATCTAAGCGAAACGATGATTATAGAAAATGGATGGAGAAATCTGGAAGGAAAGTAGATTTACCACTCTTTAATGGACATGATGCTTATGGATGGATAGTTAGGGTGGAGCGTTTCTTAAAAATGAATCATATAGAGGAAGATGATAAAGTAGAACTGATTACTTTTAGCAATGGAAGGAAAGGCTCTAAACTGGTTTCAGTGGTGGGAAGAACACACTGAGGTGAGAAATTGGGAATCATTTAAATCTGCTTTGACTCGTTGATTCCAACCTGGATTAGTACAGGATCGTTATGGCCCACTATTAAGTGTAACACAGTTTCATAGGCAATTTCCTGACTTCCACCTTGAGGACAAGGTGGCAGTTCCAGGGGGAGTGATGTTAGAGTCACAGGAAGTCAACCTCTTAATAATAATAATAGTATTTGCTATTATGTCAAAGTGTATTCTAGAAAAAAGGGAATAATAAGTAGCTGGGAGTTATAAATAGGGATTGGGTGGACTTCTATAAATAGATAGCTACTGGAGGAATAAGGCAGCCTGTTGTTGGTAGTTGGCTGGGACTGGAGAGTTGACATCTCTTTAACTGTCAAGCCATTTTCTCTCACTATTCTGTTAATGTAAGGAAAGAGCATAGATCAGGCAATTCGAGAGTGCCTTGCTCTTCAAAATTCTAACAGACTACAGGATTGCCTAACCTTCTCTTTCACCCTTTCTATTTATTCCCTGCACTACCTTAGCCAGTTCAGCCCGTTTGTTACTCTCCCTTTCTCTTCTATTTATTTTTTGTTTCTCCCCTGCTTTGTACACACTTTAGAAAAGTCCTATTGGGATTAATTATAAGTTTGTCCTTATTCCTATCATCCTGCTCATTTAGGATAAATTATGGTGTGCCGGGCTTTTGTAATAAAGTTATGAGTTTGGCTGGTCTATTGAGTTGGTTTAATGAACTGGTCCAGTCAAGGTAGTCAAACTCGCGAGCCGCAGTCAAGGCATAGATGCTTGGGGTGATGTTATACTGGGCAGACATGAGAACAAATACAAAACTTTAAGCCCTGCAGGTTTATTCCACCCAGTATGTATTCCTAATCAAGTTTGGGCTGACATTAACATGGATTTCATTGGGGGACTACCTTGGGCATACAGAAAAGACACTTTACAGGTAGTGGTGGACAAGCTAACTAAATTTGAACACTTCATAGCATTATCCTATCCGTATATTGCCAAGGGGTGGCTGAAATCTTCATATAGGAAGTGGTCAAGTTACATGGATTCCCTAAGATCATTGTGTCTCACAGAGATAATGTTCTTCTGAATTCTTTCTGGACAGAACTATTCAAACTAGTAGGTACTCAACTGAAGTACAACACTGCCTGCCACCCCCAAACAGATAGTCAAATTGAAATTACTAACAGGTGTGTAGAGACCTACTTAAGGTGTACTACAGGCAACAAACCTAAACAATGGCATATATGACTCCTTTGATCTGAATATTGGTATAGCACCAATTACCATGTTTCTATAAATAATACACCCTATAAAGCTTTATATGGACAAGTCCCTTCATCTCTAAAAGAATTTAAAAAAAAACTGGTCATTGCACAAAATAAAATGAAACAACAGACAAATAAACACAGAAGAGATGTACAATTGGAAGTCGGTGACTTAGACTACCTCAAGATACAACCCTATAAACTAAGGAGCCTAGCCAAGAAGATCAATTTGAAGCTAAATCCCAGATTCTATGGACCTTTTGAGGACGGTGAGAAGGTGAATCCAAATATCCAATAGCTTACAAGCTGTTCAGTACATACTATATTTTACATTTTCTTATTAAAGAAAACCTTGTCTCTTAACACATCCTGTCAGCCCCCCCCCCCCCCCCCCACACACACACAAAGTGTATATTTGAGGAATAGGAACTACATGTCACACCAGAGAAGGTGCTGGGAAGTAGGGAAATTCTAGTTCATTGGAAGCAGCTGCCAGATTTTGAAGACTCATGGGAATCCCTCCAATTCCAAAAGCAATTTCATGACTTCCACCTTGAGGGCAGGTAATCAAAGGGGGAGTGATGATTGAGATCTGGACAATAACCAAAAGAATATTAATAATAGTAATTTTATTTATTATGATATACAAGAGAAAAGGGCCGGAACATGTAACTAAATAGCTAAGGGGGCCCCCAGTAGGGGATATTATTAATACGAACAGAGGAGGGAGAGAAATGTAGACAAGTATTATGTTATTTGGTTGGGCCTAGGGGAGAGACACACTCGAAATTGTCTCTACCTTACTTCCTGTTCACGCTATTTTACTCAGTCCTCTGTATCTCTCTAAGGATCTCTAAGATCTTCTCAGAATCCATTTGCTTAATATACATACAATTCTACTGTGTGCCAGATTTTCTTTTTGTATGAGGGTTCTAATTCTAATGGGGGTTGGGGCTTCAGATCCCACCAAAGCTTAGAAAGTAATTCACTTTCTGTGGAAAGCACCAAACGCCCCCTGCATCTAGACCCTTAGACTTAGGGCTGGATTCGGTTCGGGACCCGAACTGATTCATCATATCTGCAAACCAAACCGATGTATCGGTTTGCCAAATTTCTAAAACCAGAACCGAACCGTTCATTGAACGGGTACCGATTTGTGGTACCCAATTATTCGGTTCGGTTTACCATAAACCACAATAAGCTGATTCTAATTAGGAATAAATAAATTTGAACTAATATTCAATGGAATGAAGCACATAGCACGCCAATAACTGAGTCCAACAAGCCAAAGGTAGCTTGGCAGGTCTCCAGCTACACTGCTACACTAATACTTGGGAGCATATCTGTGTTATATAGAAATTGTTTTGGGTAGAAAGCTTCTCTTTGTCCGGTGTGGGATAAGTAGTATAGCAAAGAAGATGTTAATATCCAAAACAAAAATCCATCCATGGATGGGAATCGACCCTTTGACGCCTCAGTTTGGAGAAGCGCTGGACGACCAACTCTGCCACACTCATGTTATGTTCATTTGATACTTCATACTATACTATACCTTTACCGAACGACATTAATTATTATTATTATTATTATTACTATTAACAATTATTATTATTAATATAAAAATGTTGGTTCGGTTCGGTTCAAACCAATTTTTTGTGTATACAACCCGAATCCGAACCAATATTTTTCGGGTCCCGATTTTTGGGTCCCAGTTTCTATCGGTTCGGTTATTTACGGTTCGGTTTTCGGTTTCTCGGTCTCAAATGCCAGCCTTACTTAGACTTTCTCCTGTCTAATGTAATTCATATTTGACTGAACTAATACTATAAGGTAATCAAAGCCATAAGTGATCCTGATATGTTTGTTTCATTTGTAGGTTGAGAAGGCACATAGCCATTATGAGAAGCTTGAATTCTCATCAGCGTGTGAGGCAGTTATAGAGATTGGTAATGCAGGAAATTCCTTTATTGATAAACAAGCACCATGGTCCCTTTTCAAGCAAGGTGGTGTAGATTTTGAAATTGCCGCCAAGGTATCCTTTCATCAACTCATTTACTATCTAGATATGGAAGAAATGATTATCCAAATTGAAACTGGGCGAAACCCCCATATAATCCCCTTAACTTGACCTGTGGGATCCATCTAGCTCATCGGGTTCTAATCAAACTAGTTGGGCATACTAGGTGAGTATCAAGCCCAATTGATCCCTTTGATGAAGATGCCAAAAAGAAGGCTTAGTGGACACATATTGCCCAATGCTCTGGTGTGTTTAATAGGTTCAATTAGAAGTGAGTGGCTCAATGGGGCCAAAAAGCTAAGTTTAGGGTCTTATAAATAGTTTGGGCCTCATAAAGGGCACCCTTCACTCAAAATGACAAGTTTGCATTATGTCAAACCATACAAAATTCTTCTTACAACTGATGAAAAAGAAGCAGAATTATCATTATTGTGCTCCATAATATTTTGCTTTTAAAATGTACTCACCCTCTTGTTTTTGTTCAAGGATCTCGTAGTTGTGCTGGAATTAGTGAGAATCATAGCAGTCGCTTTATCTCCTGTTACTCCAAGCTTAAGCTTGAGGATGTATACCCAACTTGGTTACACAAAAGACCAGTTCCACGCTGTGACTTGGGTATTCTCTTACATTCTTGATTCGATATACTCTCAGCCCATTTGGTAATGCTTAAAATGGATGAAGTTAATGAGTGTTGAGATTGCTGAAGTTATGGATACACTTGCTAATTTATCTATACCAGAAATAAAGCAGGCTTTAGAAATATATTTGCACAAAGATTCATGTGCTACTTTTTTCATCATGGAGCCAGCGTAGTGATAATAGTTGGTGGACAAATTTGGCTGATATGTAAAAAGTAAAGTCTTCCAAATGACCTCTTACTGTTTCAGAATTAACAGAGCTTGTTGTTCCAGAGTCATACTGCTTGGGGCGGGCTGAAGGGAGGTCAAGTTATGGCTGAACCACAACCAGTGTTTGCAAGGATTGAAGATCGAAGCCAGCAAGATCATAGGGGTGGAGCATCTAAGAAAGCTAGCAAGAAAACAGGGAAATTTTCCTCCAAAGACTAAACGAGTGGTAGAACACTCTCCTATGGGTGGATCCAGGAATGAGAACCGGGGTGGTCTAAACAGAACCGGGGTGGATCCAGGAATGTGATTAGTTTGTACTTCTTTATCTATGACTAGTGTAGTATAGTTATCTTCCATTCTTTAATAGTTGCAACAGTTTGACTTTGATTGTCATTATATTTAATTACATATTACTAAACATTATAAAAAGTTAATATTTTGGAAATTCACATAAAAAGAAATTTAATAACATTTTATACATAATAGTTTGATTATATGTATTAATAGAAAATCTTTCTCAATGTAAGGTGCGTCAATAGTGCAAAAATCACAGTGTTGTAACTATCAAAACGGAAGAAGTATTATACTAGAGGCTAATTAGAATATTATATGATAAGCGTTATAAGTAATTATAAGTATTTATTGAAGAAAAGAAGAGAAACCGGACAATTCAAATATCTTGAGTTTAGCCAAAATGAATTTTAAAGGTCAAACCTGACAGGCTGACACTTCTTTGGTAAAAAACAGGTCAAAAATGACAAACAATTAGTATTTGTGTGGTCATCCAAAGTCCAAACCAGCACTAGAATTGCTTTTCTAGAACTCCTCGGGAGAACGTGACCGGTTCGATGCCAAACCCACCCTAAACTAGTGCTGGACTTGGGCCGGTTCGGGCTTAGGCCGGGCCTAGGCCTGACTGGGCCGCCGGTTAGGAAATGTTGGGCCCGGGACCGGCCCGGGTAGCCACCGGGTCCGGGCCTTGGGCCTCTAACATTTTTTTTTTTCCCTTTTTCTAATTACCCCCTGACCCCCCCCCCCAACCCCCAACCCCCAAACAACTCCAAATGGTCCAAAATACCCAGCCCAACTCGGGGATTTTAAAAAAAAATTGAAAAAAAAGCCTGGAACTGGGCCCAGACCGGCCGGGCTGGCTCATGGTTTGGGTGACCCGAGCCCGGACCGGAAACCCCTCGGGTTGGGCCTACCCGGGCCGGTCACTGGCCGGGCCACCGGTTCGGGCCGGGCCAGAACAGTGCCAGACTGCCGGTCCCGGGCCGGGCCACCCGGCCCGAGTCCACCACTACCCTAAACCATCGCCAGACCTACTAAAAATGTCATTTTAGGGCAAGAACAAGAAAAATGGACTATGGGGTGTTGAAATATCTTTCAGAAGAAGCAATAAATAACTTATATTAAACTCTAGTGAATGTTTTGGTAATTCTGATACCTTGGTCGTTTTGTCAAATATTCACACACTCAGTTGAACATCCCTGCACGGCTGCACATTACATCATTTTAATATTTTAATTTGGACTTTATAAAACAAGTGTTTCCATGTAGTTCGACACTTCGACTTTGTATTTACTTGTACTTATAACTATATATAATCGACACTTGTATACATTCAGGTTAAGCTCGGCCAACCATTTGTTATCATTATACTTATTACGATTACGATGTGTAATATCTAGTCACATACTTAATTACTCGCTAAGAGACTAAACAAGTTACAACTTTAATAGTTAATGAGTTTAAAATATGCAAGCACAAATCATATGCATGAGTGTCCTAGAGATTTTTTCAAAACTTCAAAAGTCCCCCCCACAGGCCCACGACACGTGCAATGGGATGAAATCGTTTTAAAACGAATATCAATCTGGCGCATTTTTACGATGCTCATGGTTTAGTTTAGGGGTGGACTCGGGCCGGTTCGGGCCCGGTTCTCTCCTGGGCCCGGCCGATTCGCGGTTCAGAAAAACTAGGCCCGAGCCTGAACCGCCGGTGGCCGGTTCCGGTTCCGGTTCCGGGCCAAACCGGGCCGGGCCGGGCCAACCGGCCAACATATTTTTTTTTTGGTTTTTGGTTCTTCTATTTAACCCCCTACCCCTCCCCCTCAACCCCAAACCATCCCAAACCACCTCAAATGGCCCAAAATACCTAATCCAACCTAAAACTTAAAAAAATTTCAAAAAAAAAAAAATAAAATCCGGCCCGGACCGGGCCCGAACCGGCCGGGCCGGTTCACCAAAAGCTGGGCCCGAGCCCGGACCGCCCAGCACCCGGGCCGGGCCAAACCGAACCGGTGGATCCACCGGGCCACAGGCCGGGCCGGGCCAAACAGTGACCGGGCCGGTTCGGTCCCGGTTCGGGCCGACCGGCCCGAGTCCACCCCTAGTTTAGTTGTGGAAGGGGATCAACGAGCTAATTCAACAACATTTATGTCTGTGTTGCAATGAACATGTTAGCACAAACCTTTATTTCTTTGGATACAATAATGAAATTAATTGTTATTGTAGAAGCACGCACCATGTCTTCTAGGTAAAAAATCCTCTTAACTATAAGATCATATTTTAGTGAATGTTTCTTATGTCATTTCAATCGCTCTAACTGTTATATGGTAAATATTTTGCCAAATATTTAGTACAAAATAAACTTTTACGCTTTTGTTGTTGTATAAATACTTTGTATATTTTTAGGAAAAGATGTTCTTAATAGCATTAAAGGATTACTTGAACACGATTGGAAATCAAAGAAATATCAATGAACATGCATAAAAACAAGAAAATCAACCAAAGTCGTGCAATGAATTACCACACGATTGGTTGTTTACAGAAAATATTGTATACACTTTGAAGAGTGGAACACATCTCTTTATGCGGTGATCCAAACATACGATTCCACGACACAAATATTCTATCTGGGATCTAGAATCTAGATTACTTTATTTTATTGAAACTTCGTGTCATTATATCCCTCATCAATTTAGTAGTGTTCATCGTCGTCCAAGATAAAATCCTGAAGTTTTTTCTAAAACTTCAAGATGCTATGAGTCATAGTTTAGTTACTATCATTTAGGTATGCACGATGTGAGCAAATTACGCTCATTGCGGAAGCTATACCAGAACGAGCATGTTGTGTGATACTAACAATGGTAGAATCTAAGGGCTTTTTCCTTCAATATTACCAAATTGCGTGATACTGATAATGGTAAAATCTAAGGGCTTTTTCCTTCAATATTACCAAATTGAAACTAATTTCCCAAAATTTTACTAAGGTCACATATTTCGATAATGTCACTGCCATTTTTTATGTCACTATTAGATTTTTATGTCATTGTTCGGATGCCACTGCTGCCACCGCCCGTGTGACTACCGCCGGCGCCGCCAGCCGCTGCGGGCTACAGTGACACAGTGAAACCGCCATAGTGAACACTGCTTCAATGACACTGCCACAGTGACACTGCTTCAGTGACACCACCACATTGACACTGCTTCAGTGACACCGCCACAGTGACTTAAGTCAAATACAGTTACTATACAATTTTCAGACAAATCTGCCGCCAATATCACTGCCTGCAACCCTGCCGTCACCGCCGCCTTGCCGACACGTCCGTTTCTCGATATACCACCCATTGCCCCTACCCTTCCCAATCCTCAGCCACAAATCCTCAACCCCAACCCGTGTCCCATCCAAAGCCCTTTATTGCTTTGGATGCAATAATGAACTTAATTGCTATTGTAGAAGCACACACCATGTCTTCTAGATGAAAAGTCCACTTACCTATAAGATCATAATTCAACATATTTCAGTGCATGTTTCTTGTGGCATTTCATTCTCTCTAAGTGTTACTATGTTAAGACCCGGGGTTCCATCCTAAAAAGTCAACCTGATAGGAGGAGTAGCCCAAAGCCTTATATAGTGTTTTAATTGTTTTATAGCTTTCCGGTGTGGGACAAATGCTTCAACACGCCCCCTCAGCCCGAACCGGGCTGGACAATATCGGGATGTATAAATGGGCCAAACAAACCCTTAACAAGCTAGCCTTAATCATGGCTGCTAAACAAGCCATCAAACCACAACCGAAATTGGCTCTGATACCATGTTAAGACCCGATGTTTCATCCTAAAAAGTCAACCTAATAGGAGGAGTAGCCCAAAGCCTTATATAATGTTTTAATTATTTTATAGCTTTCCGGTGTGGGACAAATGCTTCAACATACTAGTATATGGTAAATGTTTTGTCAAATATTTAGTACAAAATAGACTTTTATGCTTTTAGTATTGTATAAATACTTGGTATATTTTTAGGAAAAGAAGTTCTTAGTAGCATTAAAAGATTATTTGAACACGGATGGAATTTCCTTATTAGTAATAAAAAATAAAAAAATCGGATTTTGAAAATTTAAATTGATATAAATTTAAAAATGTTTTTCACAATTTTATTTATATTACAATAATAAATAATAAAATGCAACCAAAATACAACATGTGAATAATTTAAAATGTAACATGTTGCATCTATTTAAAAACAAAGGTAGTATACATTATTTACGATGTCTTTTATATTAGAGTTGACACATGAAAATAGTTCATAATATAATATTACCGTTTTTGTTTTACAAATGTAAAATGTGATCGTATATATACCCTTTTTTTGACATCTTACTTCTGATATACTTCACACTTTTCTTTGATATAGAAATCGAAAATGTGATACATGTATTTCATTTAAGTATGATAAGACTCTAGTAATTTTTTTTATTTAAATAGATGTTCTGCCTAAAATATAACTTAAATAATATCACATGTCCCACTAAAATTATCATATCTTTCCTTTTTGACCCATTCCATTAACACTGTATCAGAACATATTTGATAACGTTTGTGTGACTCGAAATTGTCCTTCATTAAATGAAATGCAAGTATCAGGGTTAGAACTCCACTCACTATCTTCCAACTTGTAATTAAAGTCCAATTTACATAATCTCAGTTAACTCTCCGGCCGATAATGGAGCCCTCATGGATGAAGTGTCATCTTTTAATAAATTAAAAAATCCAACCCATGATGGGACACTCATGGGTAGACTTTGTACTCGTGCGCATCAAAAATTCAACCCAACACAAATGAGCCATAACCTCCATCTGTAGCTTCCACAAGCCGCTTAGAGTTTTGAACTTTAATCAATATTCCAACTTTTCAACCATTCAACGAACTGTGCTACTCTTATTATTATTAGTTATTATTCCACCCGTCCCTTAAAACTTTGTCAACTTTCATTTTTTGGATGTCCCACTAACTTTGCAACTTTCTCTTTTATGAAAAGAATTTTTGGTTGCAGTTAATTCTTTCTCCCCTGCACAAATTTAAACACACAGTTTTTATTTTATTAATTCTCGTATCGATCAAACTTGCCAAAATTTTAAGGGAGTATTCACTTTTGACGCTATTAAACACCTGCTAAG